GCTGTGGACAAAAATCCCTGAAAGGGCTGGACATGCAGCTTAGTGGGAGAGTACTTTCCTAGCATGTACTATGCCCTGGCACTGCCACACACACATACACACACACACACACACACACACAGAGAGAGAGAGAGAGAGAGAGAGAGAGAGAGAGAGAGAGAGAGAGAGAGAGAGATTCGAGTGTCAGTCCCTGGTAGGATTTACATTCCAGAGGAACATCTATTCTGCGTCCAGGCCCTATCCTAGGATATAAATAAATCAGCATGCTCCCTGCAGCCGAGGAATTCATTGATTTGCAGCAAACAAGTTAGGACGAGGGGAAGTTAGGAAGTTAGGAAGAGGAAGACTATTCTTCTTCCTCTTTCTTCTCAAGAAAAGTCCAAAAAAGATCTTCATCAGAGGCCAAGTCAGAAAASCAGACACTTGAACCACATTCCTAAGTAAGAGGCAAGATACAATAGCTGAGGACATCGTTATACTTTGAAAAAGAGTCCTTACAATTAAAACCTAATTGAACCCTAGCTCTGATTTAGAGCCTAATTTGAACCTAATATGAACCACCAACTGGGTAAACTGGGCAAAATTAAGTTTGCCTAGGTATTATTTGTATGTTTGCCTAGGTAAACTGGGCAAAATTAATACTTTGCCTAGGTATTATTTCCTCTGTCTGCAAAATAAGGACTATAATGGTATCTATATCCCATGGATAAAGAACTCATCTCAGTGCTTAGCTACAATAGTCATTTAGTAAGTGTTATTATTGTCATTATTTTTATTATCCTAACAGGTATAGACATAATGCTACTCCTCTCAAGAAAAGCATTTGAAGGTAATTTTAAAGAAAGGAGGGTCATGGCGACATACATAAGAAGGATATAGAGAAAGAGGAAGCTTGTATTTATGGAGCTCTTATGATATGCCAACTTTGTGATAAGTCTCTATGATCACCACTGTAGTAGGATGAATTAGGGCCACCAATAGGTACCAGGCCCTAATCCCTAGAACCTGTGAAATGCTACATTACAAGAGAAAAGGACCTTTGGAGAGATGATCAAATTAAGGATCTTGAATTGGGACGATTATTCTGAACTATATGGGTGTCTTCAAATGTAATCACAAGCATACTTATGAGATAATTTATTATATTATTATTTTATTTTCTGGTTCTGGGAATTAACCTGGGGATGCTCTACCATTAAGCTACATCCCTAGTCCTTTTGATTTTTTTGAGATAGGGTCTTGCTTAGCGTGGAGGTTGACCTCAAATTTGCAATCATCCTGCCTCTCAGTCTCCTGCGTAGCTGGGTTTAGAGGTGTGTATCACTGTACCTGACTTAATTTAGTTTTCTTCATCTGTATTAATCTACTAAAATATAGTGGAGAAAAAATGGGCCAAATTCGCACTTCAAACTTAAGACCACAGCTCACAGTAACTGCAGTTGATAAAGAGTTGAGGGTTTAAACATGACAGATATTTGAAACCCTGAATAAGGTAATCTGCTTGCTATCTACAAAAATATCAATAGGTAAAAATAGTGTGGGTAGAGAGCATATTCTAATTAATCAGAGAAATTGAATGTCTGTCTTATCAGAAGTATTAGAAGGTCTCAGACTGCAAACTTTAAATACCAATTCCTATGAATGGAAGCTGGGAACATTAAAGTAAAAACCACTGAATGAGCTAGGGTTCTGGCTCAGTGGGAGAGTGCTTGCCTAGCATGTATGAGGCACTGGGTATGAGTACCAGCACTGCATATAAATAAATGAATAAAATAAAGATCCATCAACAACTAAAATRTACATAAAATTTTTTAAAAATCCACTGGAAATTGTTGTCTTTTGTGCTYCTTCCCTAAAAGTAAGCAGAGAGAAAATCAAGACAGTATTTATTTGTTCATTTATTTGGTACTGGGGATTGAATCCAGGGGCATGTTACCCCTGAGCTACATACATCCTCAGCCTTTTTAATTTTTAAAAAATTTTTTTTAGTTGTTGATAGAACTTTATTTTAATTTATTTATATGTGGTGCTGAGAATTGAACCCAGTATCTCACACATGCTAGRTAGGTGCTCCACCACTAAGCTACAACCTCAGCCGCCCTTTTTATTTTTATTTCAAGGCAAAGTCTTGCTAAGTCCTTAAGGCCTAGCTAAGGTTGGTCTTGAACTTGCCAACCTTCTGCCTCAGCCTTCCAAATCTCAGGGATTATAGGCATGTGCCACCATGCCTGACCCAAGATAAGTTTTTTAAAAACTTTATGAAATCAAGAAGATTGGGATAAGGTGAACAGAAATAAATGGCAACCAAGGGAACAGGCATAGGTGAGGAGGTAGAATTATCTCAGGGTCCACAGCATGATAAACCTCAAGGTGGAGGGGGGGGGGAGTGGAGTGGCAACTGTTGGCTGTATAAATCTCTGGGGCAGAGACAAAACAAGAAGATTAAAATCT